CTGGAGGGAGCCAGAGACCTTGCTATGTGTTAAGAGAGTGTTTACTGTAATCTGTGTTTTTCAGAATCCTCTGCAGATTCAGGAGTGCAACTGTAGTCTGAAAAAGTGTGGAAAAGTGGAAGAGAAAAGTGAGTATGTGGTGGAAATGAGTGGGGAACAGGGGAGAAAAGCATGTGATGATTGTGTCCTTAAAACTACAGGATCTCACTTGGAAACATTTGTTTTGGATGCTACTTCTGTCAGGGCATGGAATTCTCAGAGCTGTAGTATTGACAGAGGAAGGTTTCCAATTTATGCCGTCTGTGGCATATTATTGGGGAGTCCAATAATATATCAATGGTGAATCTGCTTCAGCTTTTGCTCCGTCCTTTACAGATGCTAATTGGCTATTTCGGGATTGGTTTTAGCGACTCTGGGAGTGCATTAAAAATTGAGATTAATACCCAGAATGGATTTACTATCCCTGAAATCACCAGCCTTCCTTGATGGCAAAGCTCGAGAGACGTGTTCCAGCTTTTCACTGGAACTTTTCTGGGACTCTCCACGGTGCTGAACTTCATTCCCAAAATTGAAGATAGTTCCTGTAAAGTTCGGCTCAAAAGCCTGAGCAACATCTTCTGTTTTATTGCTAATGAATTTCATTGAGGCAATGCAGAGCGGGGCAATAGAATGAGAAATGGTGACCTTATGGCACGGGATCTGGATGATAATTGGGAGGTTAGCAAACAAAACAGATAAAATAAATAGCTGAAATTAAATCCTGTTCTGCCTTTGGCTTCCTTTTGGATTTGCACTCTTGCCACATTTTGAAAACTTCCTGTTGGTGCAAAAAATTCTGGACATGCATGCATGCAGAACCACCAACCCCTTCTTTCCCCCCTTTTTCCCAACCCCAAATTGCAAATTAATTATAATTTCAGATGAACTGCTGAGCTGAGATGATCTGGGGCAGCATGCAAATTAATTGAACGATTGTTATTTATGGTTGGTTGGGATGAGGGATTAATGTGATGGCTTCGCCTTCGTCGAAATTTAAATAAATCCTGGCAAATTTGCTTACAAAAGCCTTCGCGAATATATTGCTTACAAAAATCTAAATTATATACACTTCACGCAGATGTGTGTGTCCCATGAGCCTATCGCCCATCCCAACCTGTAATTTTTTTTACCTAACACAGCCTGGGAGAAACAAGAGGGCTCCAATTCAAACACACACACCCCACTGCACAATCCTAGATTGCAGCTGTCTCTTATATTGAAATCAATCTCAAGCAAATTTCCTTCCTGCAACACAAAAAAGGTCAATTCTCAGGGCTCCATGTAGGCTGTTTCCCCAAGGAAAAATAATGTGCATGTCCAAGTCCAAAAATAGTGACTTTTCCCAAACTCTGGGAGGTGTCCCCCCCTTCTTCCAGTAAGCGGCTTCCAGCCAAGAGATGAAGAGGCTTTTTTATCTCAGAGGAAACCTGCTTTTAGAAGCAGCTGCTCCCTCCTGCCCGAGTAACCCAGCATGGCACATGAAAGATGCATGAGGCGACAGCAGCGAGTGAAGGCTGCAGAAAGGTCAGTGCGCCAGGAGTGGGAATGTTCCCCAAAGCTGCCCTGCCACCGACGGATTCCTCGAAAGGCTTCTTCGAGCATCTCCGGCTGCGCCAGCTTTCGAGTTGGTGGTGGCCCAGTGACATCAGGACCCCCTTTTCTTGGCCCTTTGATGCAGGAGCCACGCCAGACGGGCGGCTCTGCTGGAGTTCCCGCTAGCCTACAGCCACTCTCATGACTGCCCTCGATTCGATGGACCAGATGCTGGAAAGGGATTTTTCTGGGCCTTATGTGGTCAGGTTGCTGCAGACACCCTACGGACTATTCACTTCCAAAAGATCCTGAACCAAGAATTGCAGCACGTCCGACTTTACACCTAAGGAGCTTTGCTTTGAGAAAAATGCAAAAATGTGAAGGACACAACAATGCATGTAACTCTTCCAGGCTCTGAGGATGCGCAACCTTTTCGGTAGGCTGCAGACACACACAAGCCCTCCCTCCTGAGTGCGTGGTTGAGCAGCTGGAAGGCTCGAGAGTCCCAGCATCCGACGAATTTATGGCTGGCGAAGGGGTGACGCCTTTTTTGCATGGAACCCACCCCCTGCCTTGATTCGGATCCACATTCTGAAGCTTCTGGTGTTGATGCATTGATGTCCCGAGATGGAAGCTCTCCCCAGAGGTTGAAAACCAAATCCCCTCAGCATCAGTGCTGCAATCCCAGCATCTCCCGTGAGAAATGGCCTTCCTGGGTCCTGTGTTCACTGAAGCTTAATTGAACCCAAGTCTAAAAGGAATAGCATCAGCAGGAAATGTGTTCATCCAGGGGAGTAAGCAGTGGGCTGTGCATGTTTAAAAAGGGGAGAGGAAACCAGAGGGGTGCAGAAATCCAGCGCTCCATCTTCAACCTGCTTTCTAGCTAATCCCAATTTACAGCAACCCTTCTCTGCGTTTTCGAGGTAGGGAATACTTTGAAGTCATTTCCCCTTCCCTTATTTCGAGGTTGTGGGGGGGGGGGCATCCTGGGACTGTACAACTTTCCACTCAAGACCAGTTCTGCTCCCTTGGGGCACGACGAGAAATCAAACCCCCAACCGCTGGCTCCATAACCAGATACCCAAACCCACTGGGCTACTTGGTAACAGAACTGCAGACTCCTACTTGAAGCTAATGGGAGAGGCATCATCTTATTACAGAAAAGTACAGCTTGCAAGGTTCCACTCAGCTGGACTAGAGGGGAAAACTTCCATTACCAGTTTTCCCTGCTAGATCTCCACATTCTTGTCACCATCGATTGTTCAAGACAGTTGTTTTGTGTTACTAGAGACTTCTCTGCTAGTGAGTTCTCTAAAGCCAAGTTGCCAAATATGTACGGTCAAAGGAAAAGACCCGTGTGCAATTTCTCTTAACCGGGGAAGAGGGGATAAAGAAACTGCAACCTCGAGGACAATAAAACAGACATCGTTCGCTGTCACCAAGTTATTTCTGGGCAGCCGCTGTTATCAGTTTGGTGTAGAGCGACCTGTTCCGAATTCGAAGGTTTCCTCCGCAAGCTTTCGAGATGCAATCACATCATATTGCACTTCACTCCAGTCGTGACCGACCTGGTTTCTCCCCTTCTCCCCATCTTGGTCTCCTTCCTATAGTTCTGGGCACCTCTATTCAAGGTTGACAACCTGGAATGTCTTCCAGAGGTCAGCCAAAATGGTCAAAGGTCTGGAAGCCACGTCCTAAGAGGAGCAGCTCAGAGAGCAGGATCGCCATGTTTAAATATCTGAAAGGATGTCATGTCGAGGGAGGGACAGGTTTGTTCTCCAGGGCTCCAGAGACTAGGACACGGAGCAATGGTTTCAAACTACAGCGGTGCCTCGCATTACGATGTTAATTCGTTCCACCGAAATCGCTGTAGAACGAAAACATCGTAAAAGGTTTCCTCCGCAAGCTTTCGAGATGCAATCACATCATCTTGCACTTCACTCCAGTTGTGACCGACCTGGTTTTTCCCCTTCTCATCTTGGTCTCCTTCCTACAGTTCTGGGCACCTCCATTCAAGGTTGACAACCTGGAATGTCTTCCAGAGGAGGTCAGCCAAAATGGTCAAAGGTCTGGAAGCCACGTCCTACAAGGAGCAGCTTAGAGAGCAGGAAATGTTTAGCCTTACAAAAAGAAGGTCGAGAGGGGACAGGATCGCCATGTTTAAATATCTGAAAGGATGTCATGTCGAGGGAGGGACAGGTTTGTTCTCCAGGGCTCCAGAGACTAGGACACGGAGCAATGGTTTCAAACTACAGTGGTGCCTCTCATTACGATGTTAATTCGTTCCAGCGAAATCGCTGTAGAACGAAAACATCGTAAAGCGATTTTAAAAAGCCCATAGAAACGCATTAAAACCCAATTAATGTGTTCCTATGGGCTTGAAACTCACTGTCCAGCGAAGACTCTCCATAGCACGGCCATTTCTGATGCCCGTGCAGCGAGGAATCCATCCCAGAAAATAGCGGGCGGCCATTGTTTTACCCGGCGGCCATTTTGAAACCACTGATCAGCTGTGCAAAAATCTTCGTTTTGCGATAATCGGTTAGCGAAGAAGGGAACCAATAATCGCAAAGCGGAAAAAACCCATAGGAAACATTTTGCAATCGCAAAATCTTCATTATGTGATTTCGTCGTAAAACGAAGCGCTCGTCTTGCGAGGCACCACTGTACAGGATAAGAGATTCCGCCTGAATCTCAGGAAGAACTTCCTGACAGTCGGAGCTGTCTGGCTGTGGAACAGGCTGCCTCAGAGTGTGGTGGTCTCCTTTGGAGGTTTTTAAAGCAGAGGCTGGATGGACCTCAGTCAGGAGTGCTTTGATGGATGTTCCCGCATGGCAGGGGGGTTGGACTCTATGGCCTATGGTCTCTCTGCGATTCCAGACTTTTAAGACTTCGCACCTACTACAATTGCCAGGATAATTGGACTGGGTTTCATACCAGGCTAGACCAGCTTGGGCCCAAGTTATTTCACAGACCACCTCTCTATGAGTCTGCCTCTCATCTGGAGAGGTGTTTCTCTAGGTCCCACGACCTTAAATGGTGCATTTGGGTGAGGACTAGGGGAGAGGGCTTGTTCTCGGTGGCTGCTCCCAGACTCTGGAACTCCCTCCCACTGGAGGCTAGCTTGGCTAACCTCTTGTCTCTCCTTCCGCAAGCAGTTAAAAGACCTTTCTTTTCAGGCAAGCTTTTACCTCAACACCTGACCTCTTAATACTAGAAACCAGCCCTTTCCGCGCAAGGTTCCTTTCTTCTCTCTACCCACCTGGGTTACTCTGTCACCATCTGTATGCCAAAAACAAACACAAAAAAACCACACACACACAACTGGGAAAAATAAACGGGAATTATGCAGAAAACAAGGTGTGTGTGTGTGTGAAGGGGAAGCCCTACTCAGCAATTGTGCAACCAGCTTCGTTAGAACAACTCCGCAAAATAAAATTCCGGTTTATTGTTGGACAATGTTGTTTTCACACATACATCAAACAGGCCAAAACAAAAGAAAAGAAAAAGAAGAAAAATTAACAGCAACTTCATAGACCAAAAAAGAAAAAAAAGGGAAAAAAAAGAAAGAAAAACCCTTTTATCTTTGGCCTTGCCATTTTCATACAAACCAACTACTTTATGGTACAGCTAAAGTACATACACAAAAGAGTTACTGGAATGCTCAGAATAAAGATTGGACTTTTTTTTGCATTTTTGACTTTTTTTTACAAGGTCATTTTTTTCTTCTCCTTTTGAGATAATGGGCTTGGACATGGTCACACCACAAGTCAAGAAAAATTGTGTCTGTTTTTGTTTTGTTTTGTAGGAACAGAGGAAAGAAAAAAAAACACCTGCACTTCAAAGCCCCCCCTCCCCTTTTGGTCAATCAAGAGATCGCGTTTAAAAATGACCGACCTCGTCCCATTATGTACAAAAATATAAAATGTAAATAAAAAATACAAACAAATTCTCCTTTAAAGTTACTTTTAAGAAAGCAAGCTGGGCCTTGAAGCTTTTCTGAGAGGGAAGGAAAGGGGAGGGGGGGGAAACTGTGTCATCTTCCCCCTTGCCCTCAACCCTAAATGTGGCCACTGGCAAGAGGGAGGGGAGGTGGGATATTTATTTTTTTTATTTCGTTCTAAGTTGGACAAACATCAGCAGCACCCCGGCTTTAAAGGGCTCTCCCCCCACCGCTCTACTTGAGAAAGTGACCACAATAAGAAGGGGGGACGGTGGGCAGGAGGGGGGGCGCGCGGGCGGACCTATTTTGCAACAGGAAGATTTCAAAGGTGAAGTTGGTCACGCTGGACTTTAAAAATTTTTTGTTTTCTTCTTTTATGCTTAAAAAAAAGGTGTGTGTGTGTTTTTTAATTATTTAAATTGCTCTGCTTTCCCCTAATCGTCTTCCTCGGTTTTCTGCTTTTTGGGATCAACGTCGTCATCCTGCAGAAGGAAAAGAAAAAAGCAAACAAATGTTGGCCAATAAATAAAGAGTTTGCGGAAGACACCAGCCTCTCGTAGACAAGGAAATTCCCACAAACAGAGGCCTGACATCCCCTAAACTTAGCCCCGTGCAAGCTCCTCTCAGTCTTACATCTTTGCTCACTGTGAATCATAAGGACCCCCGTATCCACGGGTTCAGTATCTGCTGATTCACTTATCTACGGTCTGAAAATATTTTAACACAGAAATATACAGTATTGTTGCTAATCATGAAGTGAATAAAACTGCTCACTAGAGGGAGTCAAGAGACCATGGTATGTTTTCACAATTATAAGAGCATTCGCTATAATCTGCATTTTCCGGCATCTGCTGGGGGTGGTGGCTTGGAAACCATCCCATTTGTATAAAAAAATGTGACTGAAAAACCAATACTTTGTGCACTCAAGAAAGGCATCCAAGCAAGTACTGTTCTTTGAAGACTTCCTTGCTGAGGGAAGCAGGCAGCTCTAGTGAAACCCCCAAAATCCTCGTTTTATGGGGGATCCACTGAATGGAACAGGTTGTGTTAGAACAATCTTTGTTTCCATCGCACAGATCTGACGGTTCCAACTGAAGTTGAGACCATCAACGGGGAGTTTAGCCCTTGCGAGTACAACTTCCAGCCCAGCAAGCTAACAGTGCCACTGGGAACAATGGGAAATGTTGTGTTCTTTTGTCCTGACCAGTTTTTCTTCTGGAACTTTGGCAGGAGCCCTGCTTTGGTGGGAAAGACCTTACGGGCTCATCCTGTCCTAATTAAACCCTCAATAGCAAAAAAAGAGAGACTTAATGACGGATTTCTCTTACGAGACATTCTGAGAGCTGATTTGAGGTTGCAACCCAGGGACCATCCGATTCCTCATCCCACCCTCCTTAGAGAAACTATGCACAAACTCCCCCCTATAGCCAAGGACAGGGTTCCCCCCCCCAAGCATTCTCACTGCATCGAACGGCCATCCTCTGCAGCCAAGCATTGCAAAGGGAACCGTCAACCCTAATAACTCATTTTTATTGTCCTGTCTTTTCAAGGAAGCCCGGCCGCTGCAGCAGCAGCGCAGCAGGCAGGAAACCTACAAACAGGCTTGATCTTTCCACTCTTAAAACCACGAAGAACTGTTTTCACTCGTACACTTATAGGAAAATGCATTTCGCTTTCCACCTTCAGCATCCCCCCCCCTTTGTGTAATGTCAGAGTGAGTCACCCCCTTCTTAAAACGGATGGCTCTTCAAACAGGTCTTGAAACAAGGAAGCAGAAGATACAAATAGGACGGGGGATGCCTATGGTCGCCCCCCCTCTCTATGCAACATCCAACATTCCCAAGAAGCAACGGGAAGGGGGACCTTGATTTGGAGACTGGGCGCCTGGCTTACCTCATCGTCCTCGGCTGCCCGCTTGCCTGTGGGGCCCTCCGGTTCCTCTATGGTCGCCCCCTCTCTCTATGCAACATCCAACATTCCCAAGAAGCAACGGGAAGGGGGACCTTGATTTGGAGACTGGGCGCCTGGCTTACCTCATCGTCCTCGGCTGCCCGCTTGCCTGTGGGGCCCTCCGGTTCCTCGTCTTCATCGCCATCCTCTTCTTCACCTGCAAAGGAGAAGACCCGAATCAGGAAGAAAAAATAAACCCAGAACAATTCATAAAGGACGCCTACCGTGAACACCACCATCTTGGGCCTGAATGAACAGGACGATGATCCAGGTGTTGGATCAAGCCCGTTGCCCACAATGGCTGGGGGTGGGAAATGGGACCCTCCTGCAGGGGTGAGGCAATGAGGACACTAGGAATCAAGAACAGTGGAACCCCCCCCCGGGTCAAGCACTTTCTTGGCCTGGCCTACCTCGCTGGACTGTTGGTTGGGGGAACGAACTACAGAAGGGAGAAACATGACCCAGACATGTACTGGAGGAAAGGGAGCGCTCGTCTGTGGGCAAACAATACCCAGCACACACAGAGAGAAAGCCCCTTCTGGACACCTAAAGCCCCCCCCCCCGGAACTGGGTTTTGGTTTATTGCCTCCTAAAATCCTGATCATGCAAATGCCTTCTTGTCAGTCCAAAAGGCTCCCGGAGGCACAGAAAGGATGCTTAGCTCTCGCTCCCTTGGTTTCCCTCTTCACAACAGCATCCCTAACCACGGACTGCTCCTTCCCCCTAACTCTGGCGTATCCCATCAATACGCATAAGAAGGGGCTGCATGTCTGGAGAGGCTCCTGCTGGGCTTGGCTCACTTTGAAAGGGAACGCACGCCCCTCTGAACAGTCCAGAACGGGGGCGCACTAAGGGACACGGCATCTGGATTTATTTATTTTAACAAGCTAGGCAAGAGCTGGGCTAGGAAGCCTTTGAGCTAAGCCTTTCTTCGAGCCAACGCGGCTTCAGTTATCTCTAGGTGTGGGATGAATAAAAGGTACAAAACCCATCATGTGGAATTCCATGTGTACCAAGGGCATTGGGGGGCCGCGCGGGGCACGACTTTGGAAAGACTACAACTCTCAGGCCCATCTGCCCTCCCCCATGAGCACAGCTATACAGAGACCCAGAAACTCTTACGAACGGACTCAGGGAGCCAGATGAAGTGTAAGATGCGAGGATCGTTGGGACAAGCGCTTTCTGGGACGGCAACATCCACAAGGCGCACAAGACATGGCGAGGACGGGACGGGTCGCCTGGGTACCCGCTGGCTGCCCGCTCCTCTGCCAACCTCAGATTACTTCTGTGCCCATTCGTCACCGTTAAGCCCATCTTTAATGAGGCAAGAGGGAGCCAGTTCTGATTCATTAGTTCTAACTCAGAACGCTTCCTAATTATCCTGCGTTGGGAAGCATTGATTCTGCCAACGCGCCCTGTCCTTTGCAACCAAGGAAGGCGCAGAGAAAAGAACGGGGCCTGCGCAGGAGCTGACCTAGATAAGAGGTGAGCAGGGCCAGGCAATCAGGAGCGGCTCAGCCCGGCCGTAGAGAGACTCTCCAAAGCCCTTTAAGAAATACCACCGGGGCCAGAAGCAGGTGGCGGTGTTGCTGCTTAAGCTCTTTTGGTTTAAGTGGCCAAGCCCGCTTGAACTCTCCACGTTTAGGTCAGTAATCTGGTTTAACTGTTGCCACAAGTAGTGTGGAGTGCAAAAAGGGAGGGGAAGTAGAAAGATTAGGGTCACCTGCACCTAACACACACCTCCCCCCCAAACGTCCCTCCTGGACTGGCTCGAGGTGGATTACTTCTGCCAGGTGGCTCTCCACTTCTGTTTCCCCCTCTGGGTTTTATCCTGCACACCATCTTAACAGGAGGGAGGAGAGATTCAAGGAGGGCTGAGAGAAACCACAGTGCAGCAGACACACTTTTTAGCTCTTGGAAGTCCATCAAGAGTCAATGAAGGGGACCTTAACCCTTGTTTGCAAGAAGAGGCGGACGTTTCTGCCTGCTTGACATATTTTCCCACGAGACTACCAAGAGAAATCCGTGTCTTTTTTTCCCCCAAAAGGAACCCCTTACAAAGCTGGAAGATGCGTGCCCATGTGAGCGCGTGGGTCAGTTCTGCAAAACGCTCACCTTTGTGATGCTGATGAAAGCACCAGGGAGGGAAAATAATAATCTCTAAAGCCTCCCAAAGGCTGGACAACAGCGTCTTTACTCCCGCTTCCTTTCCAGGCTGCTTTCCCCGATCGCCAGAATGTTCCTGCCACATCCCAGCGTGATGCTGACATCACCGCTCATCGCCATGGTTCCCCAAGAGATGTGCTCTCCCCCCCTCCTCCATCACCATGGTTTCTCGGCAACACTCCCTGTCCCTGGTACCAAACACGGCGTTATGCAAAACAGCCCTGAATGCCACTGGAAAGTCTTTGGTTCCCCCCAGCCTTCCCTGTTTTACCACGGCTGGCACCGGTTTCCCCCTAGAAAGGAGCTGGCATATGGCTGATCTTTGTGCTCCCCCCCTTCTGAAGGCGAGGACCACCCGCCAGATGTCTCCGGAGACATCATCACGGGTGGAAGACAGAGGGTGATTTTGAGAAAAGGAAGGCGAGGCTAATTCCAGGTGGATTTTATGGAGGAGAAAGAAAAGGCAAGCAGAGAAAACACCTGAAAAGGTGGAGGAACGGAGCAATCCCGCCCTGCTTCGCAGAAACCTAACGGTGGCACAATCAAGGAAGCGCATGCCAAGAAAAGAAAGATAAAGCGGTGGAAGATGATGAAAAGATCCTGGCGGGAGAATATTAGCAACTGTTTTCTTGGTACTGTATTCAAGGGAATCAGGAATCACAGCCCAAAGGTGAGACTCTTTTAAGAGCACACCGGCCCCCCCGGGCATCTCCAAATGGGTGGGTTTCTAAGGAACCTGACGCAGCGGTCTCTGTATGCAGGGACAGCCCGTAACATGGCGGATGCTCCATCCTGCCCTATGTGTTTCCTGGTCACGGTATTATGGAGCGTTCGATGAAAATGCTACACTAGCTGCCCTGCAGAACAGTTTAAATGCCACATGAAAAAAATGTATAGATACCTGGTTTTCACCTACACACTCATGCGCCAAGCGGCTTCCTTCATATTTAACCGCAATGGGGCGGGTAAAAAGAGGCCCAAGGGTTTGTCCCCGACTCCTCGGCACCAGAACAGAATAAGGTTCGTGTGCCTGCACCAACTGTCAAGATGCCCAAAAGTCCTGAAAAGGAATGGCAGTAATCAAGGGCTGAACGGCTTTGCCCGCACTTAAACAGACACTGCATTCCATACCCAGACAACCGGGTGTGAGCATGGGCTGTGGTGGCGGCCGGAAAATTATACCGTCTATCCTCTCTTCTCTCCCCAGCTGTCTCCGACGGTGGAAGGCGACTTCCCAACCAGATCAAATCCAGCTGCAACCCCAGGCTCTTGGATCCGGTTTCCCCAAAGGAAAACCACCCCATCCAAAGCAAAGAGCCAGGGATCACTTGCTTGAAACCCCACCCCACCCCACCCCGTGTGTCTTGCTCAACTCGGAGTGGACCCGCGAGAGGGAGGCCGGGCAAAGAGGGGAGCCGAGCGGGGTTGCAGAGGACGTCACAACGGTCTTTAAAAAAACGCAACGAGGACGGCGCAATCGAAGGTCACCTTCTTCCTCGTCCTCCTCCTCGTCGCCAACTTCTTCCTCTTCTTCGTCTACCTCGTTCTCCGCTTCCTGCTCGCCGTTTTCCTCGTTCTCCTTGTTGGAAATGAAAACACACTTAAAAACACTGTCCCGTGAACACCTCTCGGGAGACACAGGCTCACGGAGATGAACCACTTCTTAATCCTTTTTTTTGGGGGGGGGAAGGAACCTAGTGTGACGGAATACACCACTGATTTTGAAGTTGTGTGTTTCCCACCGCCTGAGTTACAGGCCTGTGGGAACGTCCAAGACCCGCACTACAGGCGTGGCGAATGACTAAATAAAAACTGCAAAAGAATATCTCAAAGGCAGTGTTCATTCCAGTAAATTATTTACCAGGAATCTTATGTCTATAAACTTATACTTTTTTCAACTACTGGCATTTGCATGACCCACCAAGCCATCCAGTTATGGTTGCTGGCTCAAAAAGTTGCAGAGAGTGTCTGTCGAGTAAGACCCCCCCCCACTCTCCTTGGGATCACTATCCACTGATTTACATCTGCTGCTTGAAAATGATAAATTAAAAAATTCCAGAAATATGGATTTCTATGTATTCCATGCTGTATTTACCAGAACTGGCCACTTGAGGGAGCCAGAGACTAAGCAATGTATAGTAATAGGCACTTCTGGGTTTTTTGCATGGGGGAAGAAACCAGCAGATCGGGTTGTTGTCTAGTCTGCTCATAAACAAACAAACAAAAAAAAAAAATAAAACCTGCCCCCCATTTCCCTTCCACCAGATTTTCGTTCACCATCCTATTTTCTGTGCCAAGAGGACTTTCAATGTGGGACAGACAGACAGGAAAAACAAAACACAAACATTACACTTTCTCATGCATGTAACACATGAAAGAGCCACCAACGTAGACAGTTCTGGTGCATTTAATCTCATCTGTTTATATGTTGGTGGCTCTACCGAATCCAAACCCCAAGCAGCTCCAAATTGGCTAGACTACAATCTCCATGCTAACAGGGGATTGAGGGGAAACGCAGTTCAACACAACTCGTTTGGGAGAGCTTAAGAGAGGAATACAACATCCACAAACCAGTTGCATGTCAATTCAAGCAGTTAAGGGCATTATTTCTGGAGAGATACCTACAGCGTTGCCGTTGGCGGGCGCATCTCTGCCGTTTTCTGTCTCTTCAACAACTTCCTTCTTCTCTTTCAAGTCCTTAAAAGGGACAAAAATAAACCAGAGTGAGTCACCAGGATCCCAGCCTCCGAGAGAGAGCGTCGTTTCTCTTGGGAAGCTGGAACCTTTCCCTACCCTGCTCAGGAAAAGCGGGTGGAAAAAAACCACTAACCCGAGAACATTTCCAGCCGCGGCGGCAGAAGTTCGAGAAAACTGTAGGAATAAACTTCTCCCTTTCCCACCCACGTGCGGAACGGAACAGCCCGAACGCTGAAGATGAGCTAGCTGGCGTAAGCATTTCCGCACCTCCCTCTCCAACCAGCAAAGAATTATGTTGTTTAGAACATCTGGCTTTGGAACAAACATACTATGGAACCCCTCCGGATCTTCTGCAGTGGAAAAGCCAGCCTGCAATACTTTTCCCTCCGCGCTCCGGCTCCCTTCTCACAAGGGACCAAGTTTTTAATGTATTTACTAGACGGCAGGACTTCCGTCTGGGGCACAGAAGATCTCCAACCACACTTGACATACACCAGATACGATGCCGTTTCCCTCTTCATGTTTCCCTCTTCGGTGAAAGGGTCGGGCGGAGGCCTCAGCTGATTTAAAACACACATCCACTGACCAGACGCTTTAAAAAAAGCCACAAAAGGCAGGCACCCGTTTTGAGCTTAGCCAGACATTCGTCCCTCTGGCCTGTCCGTGGAAAAAAAAGAAATAAACTCAGCAAACCTCTAGCCAAAAGCCAACCACGATTCTACAGAGCCGACCTCCGCGAGCCTCTTTGGTGACCGGGACCCCTTCTTCTAAGCTCTCTGTCTGAAAGGCGAGCCCCTTTGGTAGAGCAAAAAAAGCTTTCCGTGGCCAAAGACCAGACGCCTCCTAGCACAACAGCCTCTTAACAGCCGCAGCAGGGCAAACCCTGGGCTTGTGTTTCAAGCCACCCTCTGACCAGCCGCCATGTAGTCCCTTTCATTTCCCGCCGAGCTTGGCATGAAAAAGGCAACAGCCACAGCCCCGTTAGTGTTGCAGCCCCGACATCAAGAGGGACGCTCCCCTCTCCCCAGCATGCTCTTCTTCCTTTGGATTAAGCGAGCATCCAGATTATTCGGCCAGCGTCGTCATCGTAAGTCCGGCACAAGAGCGAGCCGGTTATAAGCCTCTCAAGGCAGCAAAGGCTTCTGGGTAAACCGGGAATGGATTAGCAAAACCCCTGACGACATACACAGTCCAGAAAACACCTCCTCGGTGCCTCTCGCCAGCACGGTCAATACACCCTGTTGCTCTAACTGAACTTCAGCCCATCAAAACATCTCATTTCGGGTTGTTGCTTTTTTAAAAATGCTAGTATCATTGCCAGCTCTGCGGACCAGAACATCCCCCCTCTTTTTCAATCTCTCTGTGTACCCTCAATTTTTGACTTCCAGGTAACACAACCGGAAAAACAAGTATCAACAACAACAAAACAGCTCAGTGTTTTACCAACATAAATGCCAATTTTGTTTAAACATCTCTCCCCATTTCCCTTTATAATAAAGGTGCACCTCGTGGCACAGTGGTTAAAACGCTGTACTGCAGCTAAAACTGTGCTCACGACCTGGGGTTCAAATCCCAGGTAGCCGGCTCAAGGTTGACTCAGCCTTCCATCCTTCCGAGGTCGGTAAAATGAGTACCCAGCTTGCTGGGGGGGCAATGTGTAGCCTGTATAATTAAATTGTAAACCACCCGGAGAGTGCTTGTAGCGCTATGGGGCGGTATATAAGTCCAAAAATAAATAAATAAATAAACAGATGAGAACAAAGGGATTTTTTCCCACCTCCCCGAGAACCCATCCATCCACCACAACCCCTCAAGATCAGACTGGGTAAACCAAGTTTTAACCAGAAACCCTAACCCTTTAAAAGACCTTGATGAAGGAGCCTTCATAATTAGGGACCTAATGTTTGCCTAAAATCAGACACAGAATGGTAAACACCCTCAAAAACTGCGCGAGAGAGAAACCCACAAGTGTAAGGTATGTCTGTTCTAACATACGGTGTATCAGCCAAAAAAAGAGTCTAGAGCATTCATAGGCTCTGCTCGAGAGAATTAATGGTTGTGTAGTCAGTTCCGTCAATGCAAATAAATAAAATAAAATAAAAAAGCACTTGGCAGAGCAAATGTCAGCAACAGGAATTTACAAGGATCCCAGCTGCTCACTCAAAAGTTGGGGTTAAAGTGGTCCATTTAAGGGCACAGCGCGTGGGTTCGCCTTTAACAAACTGCACTGCATTTGCAACTGAGCTAATGGAAAAAAATCTCTCCCTAATTGGAGGCTTTCCCAGCTGCAGCACAACCTGAGACAGACACCACCGCGGGGACACACACACAGACACACACACATTGCAAATACCCTTTCATTATCCACACATTTGCAAATGTCCTCATCAAGACACCTTTCCCTTTTTATCCCCCAATACAGCCTCCCACCGACAGGGGGCGCCACAGCCGAACGCTC